GTGTGGTCAGTAGATCTGTGGGGTCAGTAGATTAACTGAAGCGGTACTGTCTGCAATGGAAAACGGAATGAAAAGCGAGCTGAGTCGAACCAAGCCGAGGCGAGTCGAGCTGGTACTGGTAATAGAAAAGCGCCATTAGGTGTGACATGTCAATTGCCTGATATAAACCTCCTAGATTATAGTGATTTTTACATTCTTAACTGTTGTATAAAAGCAACATCACACTCAACCGCTGTCCAATCACAGCCATGATGATCTGGGGGTGTTATCTGCCTTTTTCTTCACACACATTAATCTAGTCTAGTGTTTTATTTTATTCATGAATCATTTTTTACCATTGAGGATGTGTGCGGAGAGAGGTTTTGTCTGATTATTTCACTTCAGGACACAAACACAATTACCAAGCAGCTATTTGCATTGGGATTGTTTATTAGCAGGTGGGATTAATTACAGGGGGAGACAGGAGAGCGAGAGAGTGTGTGTGTGTGTGTGTGTGTGAGTGTGTGAGTGAGAGTGTGTCTGTGTGAGGTGAGTGTGTGTGTTGCCCACGCAGAGAGATCAATCCTGAGCTGCTCTATGTAGACTCTAGATAAAACATTACCACTGAAATCCATGTAACGGTCTGTCTATGTCTCTGGGTCTCGGTGTGTCCACACACACACACACACACACGGGGATGTTAAAGGGTTAGTTCACCCAAAAATGAAAATGATGTCATTGTCGTCCCAAGCCCGTCAGACCTCGTTCATCTTCGGCACACAGTTTAAGATCTTTTAGATTTAGTCCGAGATCTTTCTGTCCCTCCATTGGAAATGTGTGTACGGTATACTGTCCTTGTCCAGAACGGAAATAAAGACATGATCATGTCATGTGACATCAGTGGGTTAGTTACAATGTTTTGAAGCATCGAAAATACATTTTGGTCCAAAAATAACAAAAACTTCGACTTTATTCAGCAGTGTATTGACTCACCACGTTAGGGTTAGCGTTAGGTGAAGGAGTGAGCGTTAATGAGGGTGAGTGAGTGTGTGTGTGTGAGTGAGTGAGTGTGTGTGTGTGTCAGCGTGATTAACCATGAGTGTAAGTGAGTGAGTGGATGTGAGTGAGTGTTTGAGTGAGAGCAAGTGTGTGTGTGAAAGAGAGAGAGTGTGTGTGTGAGTGAGAGAGAGTATTTGTGTTCTGTGCACGTTCTCTTGTTCTGATTCATCTCGTGTCTTCTTCTTTACCTCCTTCTGTTTCTGACTCTGTTAAACAGGAGTGTGTAGGTGTGTTTTACACTTATATAAATTGTCACATTATGCAATGTGTGTGTGTGTGTGTGTGTGTGTCTCTGTGTGTGTGTGTGTTTAGGCCGTATGGATTATGTAGAGCTCGATATAGACGTGAGATTATAGATTGTGGGATATTTCTGTGTGTGTGTGTGTGTGTGTGTGTGGATGTTGAATTCCTGTAAACACACACTAAATATGTGGGTTTGTTTTCTTTGGAAGGACTGAGATCAGGTCTTCAGCTGCTCTCAGGGACTCTGGATCATCAATATGTTCTGTATCTGTGTGTTTGTTCAGTGTCCGCACATGTGCAGTGACGAACAGAAATGAGATGTGGTGTCTGTGACTGCCAGTGCTGTGATTGGTCGTGTCTCCGCGTAATCTTAACATTTTTTATGAGTTGACTCTGTTTTCTTTGCGTCGTCTGCGTTTTCTCTGCATTTTCTGAACATTTTCTCTGTGTTGACTGCGTTGTCTCAGCGTTGTCACAACATTTTCTCCACGTTGACTGCTTTTTCTCAATGTTTTCTCTGCATTTTCTTCATTCAATCTGTGTTGTCTCAACTTTCTCTGCGCTGTTGTAAGATTTTCTCTGTGTTGTCTCTGCATTGTCGTAAAATTTTCTGTTGTCTCAGCGTTCTCTACTTTTTCTGCATTTTCTCTGTGTTGTCTCTGCGTTGTCTCAGCGTTGTTGTAACGTTTTCTTTGCGTTGTCTCAACTGTCTGTGGGATTTCTCTGCTCTGTCTCAGTGTTGTCTTCACATTTACTCTGTGTTCACTGCATTGTCTCAGCGTTTTCTCTTTTTCTGCATTTTCTCTGCGTTGTCTTCACATTTTCTCTCCGTTGACTGCGTTGTCTCCACTTTCTCTGCATTTTCTCTGTGTTGTCTCAACTTTCTCTGCGTTGTAACGCTTTCTCAAGATTTTTCTCTGCGCATTGACTGACTTTTCTCTGCGTTGTCTGTGTTGTCTCAGTGTGGACTCGAGTGGACTTGTGTCTTTATTATTGAAATTATAGGGCCCAGTGGATGAGGAACAGATTACTGTTTCTCTCTCAGACAGGAAACACACAGCGCTGAATTATTACACACATCATGTGCTATTTTTACCAGTGCTGCTGTGACCAAACACTGCAGATTTAAGCACCTTATTCTGTAGATTTAAAATAAAACAAAAATAACTTTTCACTTTAATCTACTGTACCTTTCTACGGAGGCATATTGCATTCACTTGAAGAAAAAAAAAATCTACTCTGTTTTTCTGAATTAATGAGTTAATTTTTCATGAGAAAAAAAATTGCTCTGTTTTTCTGAATTAATGAGTAATTAATTCTCATTAATTCAGAAAAACAGAGAAAAAAATATTTTGTCATGAAAAATTAACTCATTAATTCAGAAAAACAGAAAAAAATATTTTCTCATGAAAAATTAACTTATTAATTCAGAAAAACAGAGAAAAAAATATTTTCTCATGAAAAATTAACTCATTAATTCAGAAAAACAGAGAAAAAACTTTTTTTCTCATGAAAAATTAACTCGTTAATTCAGAAAAACAGAGCAAAAAAATTTTTTCTCATGAAAAATTAACTCGTTAATTCAGAAAAACAGAGCAAAAAAATTTTTTCTCATGAAAAATTAACTCATTAATTCAGAAAAACAGAGAAAATTTTTTTTTCTCATGAAAAATTAACTCATTAATTCAGAAAAACAGAGAAAAACTTTTTTTCTCATGAAAAATTAACTCATTAATTCAGAAAAACAGAGCAAACAAATAATTTCTCATGAAAAATTAACTCGTTAATTCAGAAAAACAGAGCAAAAAAAATTTTCTCATGAAAAATTAACTCATTAATTCAGAAAAACAGAGTAGATTTTTTTTCTTCAAGTGAATGCAATACGCCTCCGTACCTTTCAGACTCATTTAGTTCTGTATGTAAATGAGCTGTGCCCTGATTGGCTGCTGGAGCTCAACAGTTGCTCATTTCTGCCGTATGCTAATGAGCTCATGGCTGTGATGTCATGAAGGTTTGTGAGTCAATCCAGTGCTGTTTTCCATCATGTGCGAGTGAGGTGTGTGTGTGTGTGTGTGTCCGTCAGGATGTTTATACTGCAGATTTCCGCTCTGCTCCGAATGTAAACAGATTCTCAGCGCACGCATCTGTTTGTGTCATTTTCTGCCAGACTTTCACCTGTAATATTAATATTTTGCGGCACAGCAGTTGTTCTAGTGTTTCACGGCGCTCTCTCTCTCTCTCTGAGCCGTCAGATTTCACCTGGATGTTTTTCTCTCTCGTCTGTGAACGTCTCTGCTCGTCTAAAGCTTAAAAATCATTTGTGATGTTTTCAAAAGCTGATTGTGTGTGTTAGTGAGATTCGTGTCAAACAACTCCTGTACAACAAAAAAGGGCTGTATTTACAATTTATGCATTAAAAATTTGTATAAATGTATATGCATGAATAATCGCTGAATACTTTAACCCATTTAGGCCTAAATAAACGCCTGCTAAAAAGAGGCCTTTTTATGCTTAAGTACTTTTCTGTGAACCCCTGCCCAAAACTAAGGGTTTCCAGAAATATTAGTCAAAATTTGTCAAAGCCTACTAAAATCTTAATTTCTCAGGCTCTATAGCAGATAAAAACATGATAAAAACATCAAAATGATGCAGGCGCGTTTGCCTGGCTTTAATGGTGACAACACACAGGTCGCTATCCTGTCTTAAAGCTAAATGCACACTGATGTGTGATCTGGTTTTAATGGGTTAATTGCATTTTTTATTTTACACACACACACACCGTGGCTCAGGGCGGGATGTATGATGGATTGAGATGTCGAACAGGTTAAAGAGTTTGTGCTGGGGAACATAACAGGGATCATTACACTGACAGCCTCCACATAAACACTCGTCAGTGTGCTAATGTGAGTAAATGCATAGGCTACACGTTTGCTCACACTGGACACCTTTATCAAAAGTGACATTTCAATCACGGTGTACGTGTCACTATTCACTGAAGCTCAAGCGTCACCGTGAGCTCCACAACTCAGAGAAAATGAGTATACAGTTAGTTAACTCATTATTAAATCCGACTGCGTCTTATTTTATATATATTTCTGCTGAAAGTTCATGTGGTAACATATTCTTCACCGTAAACGTGATCGTTCACCTAGAAATACAAACACAAAATAAGATATTTTCAAGAACAATATTGGACCCCATTGACTTTCATTGGATGGACTTGTTTCATCGACGCGAGGGTGAATAAATGATCATTTCAGACTGAAGTGTTGCTATTATAAACCATCAAAAGTGAAATATGAAGAGCAGAATATTACTTTAACCCTTCGTTTAGTGCTTGATGTGCAGGAGTATTTATAACCCGCGTGTGTAGCTTTCACCTTTAACTCGTTTATTTCTGTTCATCTGTATTAATAGATAAATGTGTGCAGAATTAACTCTTCCTAGGACGTAAGAACACTTGTTATAAAAGAGCTTGTTTAACTTAGTTTCTCTGATTTGACGTCATTTCTAAATTGTTAACAAACCGGTATGCTTGTTGTTTCTGCATTAAATTATAACATTGTTTAAATGAATATAATCTTTTTTGCTAACTGCAATCTTCAAACTCTCACTCTGTAAATTGTCATGTGTATTCATGAATTTTCTGTAAAGCTGCTTTGAAATGATGTGTATTGTGAAGTACATGTGAGATGAATTGATGCTCTCTTTCACTGCAGGCGGGTCCAAAGCCATGACATCAGAGGGGGAGGGGCCTGTCTCAGAAGGGGCGGAGCCACACGTGGATCTGCGTGCCTCTCCTGGCTGGGATGGGCTTGTTGATGAAGAGGCGGGGCCTGTGGAGCAGGAACAGGAAGTGGCTGATGATGTCAGCAGCGAGTTGAGCGCTCTGGTCGTCCCGTACCCTGAGTTGGCGCCCATCGTTTTCTTCTGCCTCAAACAGTCCACGTTTCCTCGCAGCTTCTGCCTGCGTATGGTGTCCAGCCCATATCCTTTACGCTGAAGAACACTGTGTGTGTGTGTGTGTGTGTGTTTCAGTTGGTCAATCACTTAGATAACGTTTCTTAGAATGTACTTCTCAATATTATAATAATAATAATGGTAAATAAAAGTGATATCTTTTTTTGATAAAAACTCAAAAATCCAGAAAAAAAAAAATTTCATAGGGCTCTTATTGTAAAAAAATTAATTAAATAATAATAATAATAAATGATGCTGTTAAAGTTTTAGAAATTAAATTGATTAGATATGCTTTTTGATACCAGCCCATATCCTTTACGCTGAAGAACACTGTGTGTGTGTGTGTGTGTGTGTGTGTGTGTGTGTGTGTGTGTGTGTGTGTGTGTGTGTGTTTCAGTTGGTCAATCACTTAGATAACGTTTCTTAGGGCCGCATATACACACAGTTACTCAAAGGTCTTTGGCAACCCGTCAAAATAAAAGCTTGGTTTAACTTGAAGAAAATAGGGCAGAAATATATTACTATTGTACAGTAGAATGTACTTCTCAATATTATAATAATAATAGTAAATAAAAGTGATTTTTTTGATAAAAACTCAAAAATCCAGAAAAAAACATTTCATAGGGCTCTTATTGTAAAAAAAATAAAAAATAAATAATAATAATAATAATAATAATAAATGATGCTGTTAAAGTTTTCGAAAAAAAAAAAAATTAGATATGCTTTTTGATTATTAAAATTTAATAGTCCAGAAAAAAATTGACATGATTTTTTATTAAAATTGAATTCAACCATTACAACATTCCAGAAAAAGAAATGGAATTTTAGATAAAATAAAACAAGTTAAAATTTTATATTTTTGTAAAAATTGAATACATTCAATAAATTAGACATGCTTTTTAATTACTGTAATCGGTAAATATGGAATCTGAAGTAAAACAAAATGGAATTTGGGAGAAAAAGGCCCTATAACATCTGCAGTGTCGCACTGGTAAGCCCCGCCCACGGGCAGATCTCATTGGTCCAGAATACCTGCATATTAAATGCTCATGTCACAGCACTTTCGTAAGTTCGAAACATGCAGTTTGACCGTCTGCTCACTGGACACGCTGGAGAACATCTTCTCAATCCCAGGATGACTTTCAGCACAACTGTGAATAATAATGAACCGCTTTCTGTGATGAAAATATAATGACACAATATGATGATAAATCAGCGGCGGAGGCGTACGCTTTAGCTGGTGTGTGCTTTTGTTCTGAGAATATAATTACAGTGTGTGTGTGAGAGATATTACAGCTGGATATTTTTCTTCTTAAAGATCGTTTTACTTATAATGTCTGTTTTTTCAGCTCAAATCTGAAATGTCAGTCTCACGTCAGATATAGTAACTCAGTTGGCAGATTATTGGTGTATTCTCGCCAGGAATCGCCCACTTAGACAGTCTGACTGGCATCTAAAGTGATTGAGATGTTTTTTATGTGATGCTGAGGTCATGTTTGTACAGATATGAGGTCAGATGCGGATAACTCGTGATGATGAATATAATGTGGACGTGACTGCCAAAGATCCGATGTGATGAAAGTAGGGTTGCATGATTTCTCATTTTCAAAAAATCTCATTTTCAGACATTAAACCATCTAACTTTTGATGTAAAACCGCAGGTGAAGATGATTGGCAAATGTTTCGTTTTTGGAGCAGCTTTTACTGTGAGAATCTGAAAAAAAACATTGACTTTAAATAAATATAGTGTTTTTGAAGCCCAAAGTGGGCGGAGCCAGCCATCGCCATCTTGGCCGTGCGTCACTCCTGGATAAACGTAAATGTTCAGCGAGGCGGATTAGCTGAGGTGACGTGACGCTAACGCTAGTAGTGACATCAGCTGTCACTCAATTGGCCACGCCCTTAATTATGCAGAACTTTAAGGCTTAATATAATTTAAACGGTTGAGTTATAAAAATATTCACCCCCCTCACAGTCGTCATGAAGGGCAACATTAGCGATATAGACCAAAACCACTTTTAGCACCAGACTGGAAACATGTGTTTTCCTGCTGTAAAGTTGGCCATTTTAACATGCGGGTCTATGGGAGTGAGTCTCTTCTGCAGCGCCTCTAGTGGCCAGTGGAGGAACTGCAGGCTAACTCACTCAGTGTTGATTCAAGAGAGAGACAGGATAGTTGCTGCTTGGAAATAAAACAACAAATCAGATGTTTGTGTGTAAATGAACACAGTTCTGCGCTTCACTCTGAAACTCGCATGTTTGTATTCATTTACTTAAATTACAGCCTTTGCCAGGTGATAATTGTGCTGAAAATCAAACCATGTGACTAGATCCTCTTCAGATCGAGATCAACGACCCGATGACTGTGATTGACGTACGGATGATCCGCTGTCAGAATATGAACGTGCTGAATGGTCTGATCTGAATCTTTAGTGTCTCTCAGCTGGTGCTTGACCTCGCCAGACCTCAGTGTTAATGTGCAGAGATGACATCACTCTCTCTCTCTCAGTGTGTCGGTGTCTCTCGTCCTCAGTTCTCTTCTGTCCTCTCGCATTTCTTCAGTTCCAGCTGTGGATAATGTCGCTAAATGTCAGGCGTCTTTTATTAAGATGAGAATGGCTCAGGTGTGTGTGTGTGTGTGTGCTGGAATGATTCTTGTGATCACTGAGTCTCTCTGTTTGGGTGTTTTAAGTGTCTGTATTTGCTGGAATCACAGATGGTCAGGTTAGTTTGGAAACTGATGATGATAATCAGCCGCAGTGGAAGAAGTCATTTAAATAATGTTGCGACAGTCTCCATTAACTCGTTCCCCGCCAATTTGCGGCAATCCATGCTTTCACTATTATACAGTAGGTGGCGCTAGTGCACATCTTCTGAAAGAGCACAGAAACGAGCGATAGAAGACGTAAAATATTCTCTGGCTTTTTCAGTCTCATTCGGTCTCAAATTTGTGATCTTGTGATCTGTTTTTTTTGAGCGACCAGACATGAGAAACTCACGCTCAACTAATCGAGTGAGTTTTGCCTCTGAATAAGTGTTCAGGAAACTGGTTTGAAACTGGTTTAAATAGTCTTCCTCAAACTCCTGATGTGTTCAGGCTCTACTAGAACAGGTTTTCCCGCTTGAATGTTGATTATTCTCCTCATATTCTCCATTGTTGCGGCTCCTCTCTTCCCAGTCTGTCAGTAACGCTCTGTTTACTTCCTGTCTCTATGAAGCCCCTCCTCCTGAAAAGCACACTCTGATTGGTCGGCTGGAGCGGTGTGTTGTGATTGGTCGAGTGTGTTTGGGAAATGCCCCGCCCCTTTCCTTAACCGCCACTACTAACTAACTCAACCAGGCCCCGCCCCTTTATTCTGCGCATTAATTATTATAATGAGGAATATGACACTGATATAGAGGAGAACACACACATCAACATCACACACTGAAGACAGAAACAGATCCTCTTTACACTTATTTTAGGAGAATTAAGATTTTCCTGCATTGTGACGATATTCTTATGACACGTTTTAACTTTAATGACTGTGTGTGAACAGACACTTTCCTTTTGTGTTTGTCTGTAATTCTCATTATTATAATTGGTTATTAGAGCCTTTTAGAACAGCATCATGACACGCCGAAGGCAGATGGAGATATAAGAAAGCGAGTCTGTGCTGCAGAAGTTCAGTTTGGACTCGTGTGTGTGTGTGTTTGAGAGCGGAGTGAAGTCGAGCTCCTCATCCATCATTAACAGCCTGGCGTCCTCCATTCGGCTCACCTTATTTATTTTTTCAATATCTTTGTTCTATTTATTCTCCCGCTTTCAATTACGACCCACAGCAGCTGTTATTGCCATGGAGATTGAGAGACCACACACACACACACACAGCACGACTCAACTTGAATCAGTGTGTGTGTGTGTGTAGGTTAGTTCTTTGAGTGTTTAATCTGAAGTTGTCAACAGTCGTGAGTGTTTGGGGATTTTCATTGTTTCTCAGATATTCAGCATCACGTCTCTGAAGGAGAAGTGTGTTCAGTGTTTCAGTCGGGAATATTTGCGTTTGTGAGGCGATCGTTTCACTTCGGGAGACAAATTTGGACAAATTTAGAGTGATGATTTGGAGAAAAAAGTCGAAACGTCGTCCTGTATTCCTCAAGTTTTAGCAGCGGCTCATCTGTGTGTGTGTGTGTGTGTGTGTTTAAATGTGAAAGATTAAGGGCTGGATTCATCTGTTTCACAGACGGCATCAGAAATCAAAGGGAAACGATTCACCTGCACAGACGGACACACACACACACACCTGCACAGACGGAGAAACACACGCTGAAATAAAAGCGATGAGAGAGATCTGAGCGTCAGAATGAATGCTGACATTCAAAGAGCAACAGAGACACTCATTAGCAGTACAAATCTCTTTACTGGGGATATTTATAATGCAATTAACCCACAACACACACACTCTTATATACACACTCACACACATTTGCATACACACACATATACTGTATATGCATGCACACATATACGCATGCACACTCACACATACTCGTATATACACACACACACACACTCTCATATGCGCACACACACACTTCAATGAAAGAAATGCCATTTTAATTAATAATGGTGCAATTTAAAATATTATGCGATTAAAAACAAGTCAGCCCTGCGAACCAATGTGTTGATTTGCTAAAAGTGTATTTTGTCATCTTTCATTAACAAAAGATGCAGACTTAAAAATCTGTCTGTAAAGTCGTCATGAAAGAGATGGTGATGGCGCAGTGGATGAGACACAGGACACTTAACCCCTAGTTGACCTCTGACATATACAGCAATTGGATAAAAGCGTCAGCTAAATGAATAAATGTGAATGTAAATGAAAGTGAAGTAGCGCTGGTCTTCTCTCCTCTAGTGTGTCGTATATCGAGTGAATCGCTTCAGGAATGAGAACAAATGTGGGCGGGGCTTGATTGTGTCTGTGGGGAGTTGATTGGACGGCTGTGGTTTGCGATTGGCTGATCTCCTGTGAGTGACAGGTTATAGCCCCGCCCTCGTCATCAGAGAAGAGGAACTGATTCTCATTCAACATTATGAACACTATGATGATAATGTGCGTCCATAAATCATTTGCGCATCAGCTCGGCAGTAAAACGCGCTCCTCTCTCTCGCTGCCGACGGCAACAGAACCCCGCGAGCTTTCAGAACCCGTCCTGTTGCTGTGGCAACAGAAGAAAGAGCGGGAGACGTGTGTGTGTGTCTCCTCGGAGAGACTGTGTTTCAGATGCAGAAGAACACAAATGAAATCAAACTAATGTGTGTGTGTGACAGAGGGAAACTCTGAACTGAAACACACACACAATCAGAAACATAATAATAATATTTACATATTCTTATCTTTGAGCTGCATTAGAGGTGATGTACAAATACAATGTGGCATTTTTATTAAAAAATGAACACTATCATACTGCAAGTGTTTCAGCAATTAATACTTTTATTCTGCTAGGACGCATTAGATTGATCAAAAGTGACAGTAAAGACATTTATAATGTCATTTGAACTTTCTCTTCATCAAATACAGTTTCCAGAAACTTTACAAAAAAAAATTTAACTTAAAAAAAAAAAGAAATGCAAAACTTAAAGTCACTTACCCAGCTTTTGAACGGTAGCAGTTATAATTAAAATTACGGATTTAATCATTTAAATTAATTTCACAATTTGCAAGGTAAATTAGATGGAAATCACATTAGTTGGGGTTCATGAATCGCATCATCACCATCTGACCATTTTAAATCAACTAAGGTGTGTGTGTGTGTGTGTGTAACAGGTTTTCTGACACAGTCGTGTTCTTCCACATGATTCTTATATTAGTATTAAACAAAACAAATGTTGTTGTTGATAGAATAATAATAGAGTTAATTTAAGATCTTCAGCTTCTATTTCCGAGCGCAGCTATTCGCTGATGCGTTTATATGTGTCCGTCAACACCGGTAATAGATCAGGTGTGTGTGTGTGTGTGTTTACAGTAACACAGTGCTTTAAGAATATCCAGATTTCCTCATGTTTGATCTCCACCTGAAGGGATTTTCTGTTGTGTTTCGCTGTGTGTCGGAGGTTTTGAACCTTCATGTTCAGCTCGCGTCTCATGTCGTTGTCCAGAGAGTGTGTGAGTAACGGCACTGTCACTCTTCATAGTCCTCCTCTGGGAAAGGTCACTTTATAAGGGCCCTCAGTAGTGCTGATGGAGTCTGCTCACTAATGCAGAGAATCACACGCGGAGGACAGAAGAGTCCTGTGTTCACTATAGTGTGTGTGTGAGAGAGAGAGAGTGTATGAGTCCAGTGGTGAGACTGAGGAATGGTGTGTGTGTGTGTGTGTGTGTGAGGAACGGTTTACAGATGGACCCTCTCCTCTATAGCAGGGCTTTCAGTCTGTTACCACATCCTAACACTCAAAAGTCATCTATCTTTTACTGACGCCCAATCTATACTCTGAAAAATGTAAATCATACGTACCGTATGTAATTAGTGAATCTGTGTGTGTGATCAGTGCTCTCCTTAACTCCTGCTGGACGTGGTTCGAGCGTGTGAGTATGATGGTGATCCTGCTGAACTGTGTGACGTTGGGGATGTACCAGCCCTGCGAGAACATCGACTGCTCCTCGGACCGCTGCCAGATCCTGCAGGTCAGTGTGTGTGTGTGTGTGTGTGTGAGCCGTCTAATAACTCATCTCGCGAGAACCAGCACGTTAAACACACTTCAGATCTTATGTTCAAACACACACTCTCAGAAGATTCGTCATCTAGAGACTCATCATCAGAGCTTTGTGTTAATTAGCGGATCATTGGTTTAATTACTCTTATGCTCTCTCCTGTCAGAGTTATTTCTACAGCGCTTTAATCATTTGTCAACAAACAAGTATTCATTACTTCAGTCAGTGACCACACAGTGTCTGCATTAAATATATATATATATATATTTAATTAATACATTTGTGATTCGGTAATTCTTGAAATGCATACTTTATCTCTTAAAACAGAATCACTGATTCTGTAAAGCTGCTTTGTGAATTGAATTGAATTTATACAATACAGATTGTTTCACGGTAATAAACAGTAAAGGAACAGAATCACTGATGCAAACTTCATCAAATACGTGACAAATTCTATTCCAGCTATAAGCAGCTCTACAAAAACAAGTGTCAATTGCGTTCAGTTCAATAACATTGTAAAGTTTGTGTCAGTTCAATGTCAGCATTACAAAGTGCATCACTTATGAAGTGAAGTTGAAACCAGCTGTAAAGCAGAAGAGAATAGTGTCTTTGTTCTCATCTGATAGTTCTGAATAAATGAGTGAATATGAGGTGTGTTTTAAACGCAGGCCTTCGACGCCTTCATCTACATCTTCTTTGCGCTGGAGATGGTGGTGAAGATCGTGGCTCTGGGGATCTTCGGCCAGCGCTGTTACCTGGGCGACACCTGGAACAGACTGGACTTCTTCATCGTGATGGCCGGGTGAGAAGGTTTCTCATGTTCGGTGCTTAAACACACGTGTTAAATGGGTTTGATTCCTGAACACCCCAACACCTGAACACCCCAACACCCGAACACCCCAACACCTGAACACCTGAACACCTGAACACCTGAACACCCCAACACCTGAACACCCCAACACCCGAACACCCTAACACCCGAACACCCAAACACCTGAACACCTGAACACCCCAACACCCGAACACCCCAACACCCGAACACCCCAACACCCGAACACCCCAACACCTGAACACCCCAACACCCGAACACCTGAACACCCCAACACCCGAACACCTGAACACCCCAACACCCGAACACCCGAACACCCCAACACCCGAACACCTAAACACCCCAACACCCGAACACCTGAACACCCCAACACCCGAACACCCGAACACCCCAACATCTGAACATCCCAACACCTGAACACCCAAACACCCGAACACCCAAACACCTGAACACCCTAACACTCGAACACCCAAACACCTGAACACCCCAACACCTAAACACCCCAACACCCGAACACCGCAACACCTGAACACCCCAACACCTGAACACCCGAACACCCAAACACTACAACACCCAAACACCCGAACACCCAAACAATCTAACACATGAAATGAACACCTAAACACATGAACACCCAAACACCCGAACACCCAAACACCTGAACACCCTAACACTCGAACACCCAAACACCTGAACACCCCAACACCTGAACACTCCAACACCCGAACACCCAAACAATCTAACACATGAAATGAACACCTAAACACATGAACACCGAAACACCCAAACAAATGAACACATGAACACCCGAACAAACACCTGAACACTCGAACACCTAAACACCCAAACATCTGAACAAACAGTTAAACATCTGAACAAATACCTAATCACCTGAACAACTGAATAAACACATGAACACCTAAACACCCAAACACATGAACACCTGAACACATGAACACCTAAACACCCAAACACCTGAACATATGAACACTCAAACATATGAACACCTAAACACCCAAACACCCAAACACCTAAACACCTGAACACCCGAACACCTAAACACTTGCACACCCAAACACTTAAACACCCGAACACCCAAACACCTAAACAACCAAACACGCAAACACATGAACACCTGAACACCTAAACACCTGAACACCCAAACACCTAAACACCCGAACACCTAAACACCTAAACAACCAAACACGCAAACACATGAACACCTGAACACCTGAACACCTAAACACCTAAACACACTGAACACCCAAACACCTAAACACCTGAACACCCAAACACCTAAACACCTGAACACCCAAACACCTAAACACTTGCACACCCAAACACTTAAACACCCGAACACCCAAACACCTGAACATCCAAACACTTAATCACCTGAACACAAAAAACACCTGAACAAACATCTAAACACCCAAACATCTAAACACCTGAACATCCAAACACTTAATCACCTGAACACAAAAAACACCTGAACAAACACCTAAACACCTGAACACCCAAACACCTAAACACCCGAACACCTAAACACCTGCACAACTGCACACCTAAACACCTGAACACCCAAACACCTAAACAACCAAACACGCAAACACATGAACACCTGAACACCCAAACACCTGAACACACGAACACCTAATCACCCTAACACATGAACACATGAACACCTGAACACCCAAACATATAAACACATGAACACCTAAACACCTGCACACCCAAACACCTAAACACCTGAACACCCAAACACCTAAACAACCAAACACGCAAACACATGAACACCTGAACACCCAAACACCTGAACACACGAACACCTAATCACCCTAACACATGAACACATGAACACCTGAACACCCAAACATATAAACACATGAACACCTAAACACCTGCACACCCAAACACCTAAACACCTGATCACCCAAACACCCCGAACACCTGAACACTCGAACACCCGAACACCTGAACATATGAACACTCAAACATATGAACACCTAAACACCCAAACACCTAAACAACCAAACACCCAAACACCTGAATACCTAAACATCTAAACACCTGAACATCCAAACACTTAATCACCTGAACACAAAAAACACCTGAACAAACATCTAAACACCCAAACATCTAAACACCTGAACATCCAAACACTTAATCACCTGAACACAAAAAACACCTGAACAAACACCCAAACACCTGAACACCCAAACACCTAAACACCTGCACACCTGCACACCTAAACACCTGAACACCCAAACACCTAAACAACCAAACACGCAAACACATGAACACCTGAACACCCAAACACCTGAACACACGAACACCTAATCACCCTAACACATGAACACATGAACACCTGAACACCCAAACATATAAACACATGAACACCTAAACACCTGCACACCCAAACACCTAAACACCTGATCACCCAAACACCCGAACACCTGAACACTCGAACACCCGAACACCTGAACATATGAACACTCAAACATATGAACACCTAAACACCCAAACACCTAAACAACCAAACACCCAAACACCTGAATACCTAAACATCTAAACACCTGAACATCCAAACACTTAATCACCTGAACACAAAAAACACCTGAACAAACATCTAAACACCCAAACATCTAAACACCTGAACATCCAAACACTTAATCACCTGAACACAAAAAACACCTGAACAAACACCCAAACACCTGAACACCCGAACACCTAAACACCTGCACACCTGCACACCTAAACACCTGAACACCCAAACACCTAAACAACCAAACACGCAAACACATGAACACCTGAACACCCAAACACCTGAACACACGAACACCTAATCACCCTAACACATGAACACATGAACACCTGAACACCCAAACATATAAACACATGAACACCTAAACACCTGCACACCCAAACACCTAAACACCTGAACACCCAAACACCTAAACAACCAAACACGCAAACACATGAACACCTGAACACCCAAACACCTGAACACACGAACACCTAATCACCCTAACACATGAACACATGAACACCTGAACACCCAAACATATAAACACATGAACACCTTAACACCTGCACACCCAAACACCTAAACACCTGATCACCCAAACACCCGAACACCTGAACACTCGAACACCCGAACACCTGAACATATGAACACTCAAACATATGAACACCTAAACACCCAAACACCTAAACAACCAAACACCCAAACACCTGAATACCTAAACATCTAAACACCTGAACATCCAAACACTTAATCACCTGAACACAAAAAACACCTGAACAAACATCTAAGCACCCAAACATCTAAACACCTGAACACCCAAACACTTAATCACCTGAACACAAAAAACACCTGAACAAACATCTAAACACCCAAACATCTAAACACCTGAACATCCAAACACTTAATCACCTGAACACAAAAAACACCTGAACAAACACCTAAACACCTGAACACCCAAACACCTAAACACCCGAACACCTAAACACCCAAACACCTAAACACCTGAACACCCAAACACCTAAACAACCAACACGCAAACACATGAACACCTGAACACCCAAACACCTGAACACACGAACACCTAATCACCCTAACACATGAACACATGAACACCTGAACACCCAAACATATAAACACATGAACACCTAAACACCTGCACACCCAAACACCTAAACACCTGATCACCCAAACACCCGAACACCTGAAACACTCGAACACCCGAACACCTGAACATATGAACACTCAAACATATGAACACCTAAACACCCAAACACCTAAACAACCAAACACCCAAACACCTGAATACCTAAACATCTAAACACCTGAACATCCAAACACTTAATCACCTGAACACAAAAAACACCTGAACAAACATCTAAACACCTGAACACACAAACACCTAAACACCTGAACACCCGAACAAACATTTTGGAGAATAACCCGTTCATTGCTGTGTTTCCAACATTAATGTCTCATTTAACCCCACAGACCCCCAGCTCTCGATGCTCAGCTCAGTCCTTCATCAGGACTGTGGTCACTCACTGAAACGCACTGATATACTGTAGTACATGTGATCCGCTGCGTATCAAACCTTCTGTTTCGCTGACGTGTGTGTTTTATAGAGACTCTGACCAGTCTGTAAATCAGTGTGTGAAAGCAGGACAGATGGAGATCTTTAATGAACGCCGGCTCTGTGTTTGCATGTGTGTGAATATGTTGAGCATACGATCAGATGCCAGAGATCATCACACCAGCTGTGTGTGTTTGAGGAGCTTCTGCTGGAGATTCAGACTGCTCTATTAGACGCATGAAATGTGTATTTTTAACGTGTGTGTGTGTGTGTGTTTAGGGTGGTGGAGTATTCGCTGGACCTGCAGAACATCAACCTGACGGCTATCCGGACAGTGAGAGTCCTGCGACCGCTCAAAGCCATCAACAGAGTCCCCAGTGAGTCCACAGCTTCTAAACTCTTCACTTCAGCTCACACACACACACACACACACACACACACACAGCGCTTGAAGACTAGACCTCCGAACGCCAGAAACTCCTCCACTCGTCCTCACATCTGCGCCTGTCACACAGATCTCGCAGAGTTTGCTCAAGCTGTGACTCGTGGAATCAAACTAAGGCGTTTGAGTTTTGTGATTAATTTTTTAATAAGGTTTTGTGAAAAATATTGAAAGATCCTGAGCAGAGATGAACCGTTTTTGAGTCTGTGAGAAAGCATTAAAGGGATAGTTCACTTTGAAATTAATTTTTGATATGTTTTATCTTACCTCAAGGGCATCCAAGATGTAGGCGTCTTTGTTTCCACAGTATTTTCAATTTTGACATTTTTCAGTCAAACCGTTGTTGTCTATCAGTCATACACTGGAGGCTAAGGGGGTCCACCAAAGAGCAGCACAGAGAAGTCCAATTTAAACATGATTTAATGACTCGTAAATGTAAGTACACATTGATGGCCTAAGACACGAAACGAGCAGTTTGTGTGAGAAAACCAACAGTATTTATATCGTTTTTACCTCTTGTAATCATAGCCATGACAAAATGATCTGACGGCACGGGCGCTTCGGTCTGGAAGTGATCGACGTCACTCTTTGTTTATACAGAGATTTGGGAAGTTTTACCTTTCACTAAACATATTTAGATCTACGGGAAACCGCAACGGAAGACGATTTCGGGATATCTAAATATGTTTAATTAAAGGTAAAACTTCCGAAATCTCCGTGTAAATATCGAGTGACGTCACACGCAAGCGATCACTTCCGGCGTAACATTGAACTGATTCAGTTCGGTTCAGTTGGACATTGAACAACTGATTCAGATCACTGTGATTACACGAGGTAAAAACGATATAAATACTGTTGGTTTTCTCACACAAACCGCTCGTTTCGTGTCTTAGGCCATCAATGTGTACTTACATTTACGAGTCATTAAATCATGTTTAATTTGGACTTCTCTGTGCTGCTCTTTGGTGGACCCCCTTAGCCTCCAGTGTATGACTGATAGACAACAACGGTTTGACTGAAAAATGTCAAAATTGAAAATACTGTGGAAACAAAGACACCTACATCTCGGATGCCCTTGAGGGAAGATAAAACATATCAAAAATTAATTTCAAAGTGAACTATCCCTTTAACTTAAATGAATATAATACAAATCTGGCAACTGGTCAACATTAGACAAACATATTGGCCCGATTATTCATAAAGGAGTCATGGCCATGCAAATTACAGGAGTTTCCCGGGAGAAATAACAAACCAGGAGGAGTCCGGGAGATGGTCTACTGTATGTATCTGGATAACTATTAATATGTTTGTGTGTGTGTGTGTGTGTGTGTGTGTGTGTCAGGCATGAGGATCCTGGTGAATCTGCTGTTGGACACACTGCCGATGTTGGGGAACGTTCTTCTGCTCTGCTTCTTCGTCTTCTTCATCTTCGGCATCATCGGTGTTCAGTTGTGGGCGGGGCTTCTGCGCAACCGCTGCTACCCGGAGGACAATTTCACCCTGTGAGTCTGAACGCCTCTGACACTCTGACACACATCTGCAAAGTTTCAAACATCAAATGTACAGATAAATGAAGTTATTGAGGAGGAAAGAAGTGATCCTGAAGTGAAACGAGTCGTCAGTAATTCACTTCCTGCTGATCCTGTAGGTGTGTAACTCATTAACATAATGCCAGCCTGTGGTCCTGATTGGCTGATCAGCATCTCTTAGCTCCGCCCTCAAACACTAGTGTATCTGAGACTGGGAGAGTTTGGTTCAGAAGACGCTGTTTTCTAATATTGAGACGGAGAAACACACGCCATCGTCACTGTTCGTATCACTGTGAGATTCAGATATGATAATGAGCGTTTGCTTTCTGACCAATCACAGCAGAGCAGCTCTCAGAGAGGCGGAGCTTAGAGAGCGTTTCAGACACAGAGAGAATTTTGAATTTGGATACATGTAAGTCTTATGTAGGAGATTAAATTAGGATGTTTTACGGCACTTTAACCCGTGCTGGTTTTCGTCCTCCTGATGGTTGTCTGCTTCTTCTTTCTGACTGGTTTCTGAGTTTCTATTCACATCCCTGAAGGCTCTCGTGGGGTTTGAGGGCCGGCGTAAACTCAGAGACATCAGGGAATCGGTCATGCTGATCCCTCATTAGAGTGCACTGTAGATCCCTCACAAGCGCACTTCAGTCGCGGACGCATCTTTCTGTGTGACGTATGAAAGGAGCAAGCGCTCACCGGGTTAAACATATATCCAGAAAATAATGCAACTCACATAATGCATGGTTAAAATCCTAAAATCACAATGTAATGGAAGTAGCGACAGATCTTTTTTCAAGTGTAATCGATAATAAATAAGTAAATCTGGGAGAAATCACAGCAGAAGTCATGCTTCTCTTACTCAGTATTTTTTTTTATCTGATTTAATCAAGATGGATTTGCTAAAGTAGTAAATGCTGTAAGATATTAAGTCTTGTTGTCGGGGGGAAAACATCTAAATAACAGAGTTTTTGCTTAAGACAAGCTCAATTATCTGCCAATGGGGACGGAAAATAATGTTAATTCAAATGGATTTTCCCCCCAGAAAAAAAACATAAAATCAATGACATTTTACCCGTCTAGTAAAAGCTTCTTGATGTAAGAATATTTAGATATTTTGACTGGAAACAAGACAAAAATACTGAGTAAGAAAAGCATGACTTCTGCTGTGATTTATTCCAGATTTATTTATTTATTATGGACGTCACCGACTAAAAACTGAGATGAACAAACAAATCATTCCCAAAATGAATAAAAGTAACAACATGCACATCCAAAATAGATTTTTTTCTTAAATGCGTTGATTTTAATTTTTATTTATAAGATCTATAAACCTCATAATTTTTCAATTTTCATTTCATGCCGACTTTACAAGACTGAAACCGTATAATCGGGCCGCTCTAATCTGCTAAATGCAACAATACGCCGTGATATTAAATATTAGCATCCTGATTTTCTGAAAGCTGCTTTGAAATAATGTGCATCCTGCAAAGCGCTGTTCAGATAAGATCGACTGACTTTAATGCTCATAAAAGTTCATTTTTCTTTAAATGTAAAATATACTTTTGTATTTCTTGCTACTGAGAAATATGAGCTGAACAATCTCTCTCTCTTTCCCTCCCTCGTTCTCTCGCTCCTCTAATGTTTCTCTGTGATGAGTGATGGCACGCAGCAGGGGCTTCTGGGAGAATTACGGCTTTGACCTTGTTATGCCACAAATGTGCCGGCTGTGATAATGGAGGGTGTGTGTTTCAGCGTTAGGAGAGCAGCACACACAGATTCACCAGAATAACACTTTAGCCTCACTGTGAGATCACACACACACACACACACACACACATGTTGATGAAGAGTTTTTTTTCAGAATAAATGTTACAGGTATTATTGTGAATGATTATTTTTATATAGAGTTCAGTTAGGGGAATTGATTGGATGGTTGTGGTTTGCTATTGGCTGATCTCATGTGAGTGACAGGTTATAGCCCCGCCCTCGTCATCAGAGAAAAGAAGACATGGAAGAGAAACTGATTGTCATTCTAAATTATTAACACTATAATGATGATGCGCACCCATAAATCATGTACAATAAACATTTATTATCAATATCAATAGTCAAAATCATCATTTATTAATAGTTTTTTTAAAATCAAAGTTGTTTTAGTTAATGCAGATATAAAAGCTGTAATAAGTATATTGCTCATTGTTAGTTTATAAGCTAGTGCATTATCGAATGTTAGACGTTTTTCCCCTTTTGTAACCTTTTTTGTATAATGTCATCTGTGTTGGGTAAGTTACTCTAAAAAAGTAATTAATTACTAGTTACTAATTACCTCTTCAACAGTGTAATTAGATTACTGTACTAATTACTCTCTCTAAAAAGTATTTAATTACTTTTAATTACTAATTACTGTCAAAATCCCATATCAATCTCAACCAGATGAATAATACAAGGATAGACATGAATCTGTTTTAATTCTTTCAAATAAATACTATAAAATTGCATGAATTATCCTTAAACTGACCAAGGAGAAGGTTACATTATAAAAACATACTTTAACATCAGACAATACATTTTGATGTTAAACCCACTATTGTTTTATGTCTGATCTCATGACATTTCACACTTTTTTCATACATATTTTACAATAATTCATACGAAATTGTACGAGTGCGATTTAGACGCCTCATAAAATGCATACAAATCGCTGTGAGATCGGATTGATCCATACACAGTATTTACCTCAATTACATCAGAAGTAACTGTAATTAAATTACAGATAAATTAAGAGTAATCCCTTACTTTACATTTTCAAGGGAAAAGTAATTAAATTACAGTAACTAATAACCTAGTAATTAGTTATACCCAACACTGACTGTCATAACTGGATCTTCGGGTGAAAGTTTCTCCGATCATTTAGTGCGTTTAAACTCCGCCCCTTTGTTACGATTGACCACAAACGTGCACTCAGACTCAGACCCGCCTCTATTTCTGAGTGCCACGCCCACATCTCAACATCCAATCAACAACTGACGGAACGAAACCAAGTCTCCGCCCTACATTTCCCTCTTTTTTGATATTCATTGGATGTATGTCAGTATATTTCTTTACCTGTAAGGTGTTCTCGGTACTCTATCTCGCCGCAGGATTGTGATCTCTAATCTCCTGTCTTACTTCTGCTCTATTTTTAACACATCTCTGTCCCATCGGTCTTTATCAGAGCCCACTGAACCCGAGACGCTCGAGAACGGCAGCTTTAATAACCACTGACTCCAGCAGACGTCACACACACACTCAGACTGGGAATCTGATGAACACACTCGCGCTCAAAAGTTGGCACACCTTCAAAAAGTGTTTCTGAGAGAGTTTCTTATATTACAGTAAAACAGTGTACTATTACTCCAGTGTAAATCTGTTTTCTATGTGAATATGAAGAGTTCAGATGCAAAAGCCTCTAAATGCCATTTGAAATTTTCTTCTAGAATGATCATTTTTATCAAGCTTGTATATTTAAGTTCAGTGATTTCACTTAAATGGCAATGATAATTACCTATTAATTGTTATTTAAGTGAAATTACTGAACTTAAATATACAAGTTTGATAAAAATCATCATTAAAGAAGAAAATTTCAAATGGCATTTAGAGGCTTTTGCATCTGAACTCTTCATATACAGTAAAGTGTCATTTATTCCTGAGTTTATCATCATTACTCCAGTCTTCAGTCTTCAACTTTATCATTCTGTTGCTCTGTCTGGAGATGCTGACGTAGATCACTGAACGCTCGGCCTCTCTTTCATGATATTTGTCCTCTGTAATCTTCTGAAATATCATTTGATTTGCTCTGAGTGTTTGATCTCTCGGCTTTATTAAAAGCGTCTCGATGGCACCTGTGTGATCGTAGAGAAGGAATCGCTAATAAAACCTCTGACCCTCTCGGCTCTGTTAAACCATCGCTGTGTGTTTCTGTTCTCTTTATATTCCACAGAAATACTTCATTTATCATACAGTATAATAAGGATCATGTGACACCGAAGACTGGAGTAATGATGCTTTGATCATGGGAATAAAATCATTTTCTTATAGAAAACTGTTATTTTAAATTGTCATGATATTTAGCAATATAACTGTGTGTGTTTAATCAAATAAATGCAGGTTTGGTGAGCAGAAGAGACTTCTTTTAAAAGCATTAAAAATCTTGCCGATCCGAAAGTCTGTGACTCGCGTCTCCTGTGTGGAGTTCAGATGATGGCCTAAGCTGGTGTGTTGTTCCTCTCAGCCCTACAGGTGTGGCACTGCCCGCCCCGTATTACTCTCCCGATGAGGAAGACGAGCGGCCCTTCATCTGCTCTCTGCCTCAGGATAACGGGATCATGTCGTGTGCAGACGTTCCGGCTCGCCGTGTTTCGGGACATCAGTGCTGTCTGGACGTGGATGATCTCCTACATCATCAGGCTCTGGGTCTCGTGACCGAACCCTTCATCAACGCCAGTGCCTTCGTACCCGGACTCTGCGTCAACTGGAACCGCTACTACACACACTGCGACACCGGACACAAGAACCCGCACAAAGGAGCCATCAACTTCGACAACATCGGATACGCCTGGATCGTCATTTTTCAGGTATTTTGTCCCGGGAGACTGCGGAGCCGCAGCTCGTATGATGTGATTGATGTGCTTTGTGCCAAATTTGGACTTATTGGAAGAGAAATCTTTTCCCAGAGGATAACTGTGTGAGGTGTTTTTCTGCTAATGATGGTGTGTTTAGGTTATTACTCTGGAGGGCTGGGTGGAAATCATGTATTACGTCATGGACGCTCACTCATTCTACAACTTCATCTATTTTATTCTGCTGATTATTGTAAGTACACACACACACACACACTCAATCTCACACAGATTTATGAGTCAGTTCTAAGAGCAATATATTTGACATGCTGATGATTCATTTTACTGATATTGCCTGTCTGATATTTTTAACCAGCTTATTGAGTCAGTTCACCTGATTTTACTATTAATAGATGCAAATATTCCCGAGACATTCAGTTTGTAGTTTCTTACATGGCCATCCCATAATAACCCAGCAGAGGTTTCTACCTGTTTTGTCAAGTGTGTTTGCAGTGAGACAGGAGTGTATTTGCAGTGAGACAGGTGTGTGTCTGCAGTGAGACAGGTGTGTGTTTGCAGTGAGACAGGTGTGTGTTTGCAGTGAGACAGGAGTGTATTTGCAGTGAGACAGGTGTGTGTCTGCAGTGAGACAGGTGTGTGTTTGCAGTGAGACAGGTGTGTGTTTGCAGTGAGACAGGAGTGTGTCTGCAGTGAGACAGGAGTGTATTTGCAGTGAGACAGGAGTGTGTTTGCAGTGAGACAGGTGTGTGTTTGCAGTGAGACAGGAGTGTGTTTGCAGTGAGACAGGTCTGTGTTTGCAGTGAGACAGGAGTGTATTTGCAGTGAGACAGGTCTGTGTTTGCAGTGAGACAGGTGTGTGTTTGCAGTGAGACAGGTGTGTGTTTGCAGTGAGACAGGAGTGTATTTGCAGTGAGACAGGAGTGTATTTGCAGTGAGACAGGTGTGTGTTTGCAGTGAGACAGGTGTGTGTTTGCAGTGAGACAGGTGTGTGTCTGCAGTGAGACAGGTGTGTGTCTGCAGTGAGACAGGAGTGTGTTTGCAGTGAGACAGGTGTGTGTTTGCAGTGAGACAGGTGTGTATTTGCAGTGAGACAGGTGTGTGTTTGCAGTGAGACAGGTGTGTATTTGCAGTGAGACAGGTGTGTGTTTGCAGTGAGACAGGTGTGTATTTGCAGTGAGACAGGTGTGTGTTTGCAGTGAGACAGGAGTGTATTTGCAGTGAGACAGGTGTGTGTCTGCAGTGAGACAGGTGTGTGTTTGCAGTGAGACAGGAGTGTGTCTGCAGTGAGACAGGAGTGTATTTGCAGTGAGACAGGAGTGTATTTGCAGTGAGACAGGTGTGTGTTTGCAGTGAGACAGGAGTGTATTTGCAGTGAGACAGGTCTGTGTTTGCAGTGAGACAGGTGTGTGTTTGCAGTGAGACAGGTGTGTGTTTGCAGTGAGACAGGTGTGTTTGCAGTGAGACAGGAGTGTATTTGCAGTGAGACAGGAGTGTGTTTGCAGTGAGACAGGTGTGTGTTTGCAGTGAGACAGGTGTGTGTTTGCAGTGAGACAGGTGTGTGTTTGCAGTGAGACAGGAGTGTGTTTGCAGTGAGACAGGAGTGTATTTGCAGTGAGACAGGAGTGTATTTGCAGTGAGACAGGTCTGTGTTTGCAGTGAGACAGGTGTGTGTTTGCAGTGAGACAGGTGTGTGTTTGCAGTGAGACAGGAGTGTATTTGCAGTGAGACAGGAGTGTATTTGCAGTGAGACAGGTGTGTGTTTGCAGTGAGACAGGTGTGTGTTTGCAGTGAGACAGGTGTGTGTTTGCAGTGAGACAGGTGTGTGTTTGCAGTGAGACAGGAGTGTGTTTGCAGTGAGACAGGAGTGTATTTGCAGTGAGACAGGTGTGTGTTTGCAGTGAGACGGGTCTCCGTTTTGACTGTCTTTCTCTCTGGATCGCTGCCTAACTCCACAGGTGGGCTCTTTCTTCATGATAAACCTGTGTCTGGTCGTCATAGCGACTCAGTTCTCGGAGACGAAGCAGCGCGAGCACCAGCTGATGCAGGAGCAGAGAGACGCCTGTCTGTCCTCCAGCACACTGGCCTCGCGGGCCGAACCTGGCGACTGCTACGAGGAGCTCTTCCAGCTCGTCTGCCACGTGCTCCGCAAGACTCGCCGACGCCTCGCCGCGTTCCTCGGAGCGCTCTGCCGAACACACACACTGCAGAAAACACACGCCAACGGAAGGAGAAACAGCCTCCAGCAACAGGGTGAGAAGAGGAGAGGGACTGAACAGTCACATGATGGAGTGATATATTTCCCAACATATGAATGATCAATAAATTAAATGATTTAACAGTATTTTTGAAAATGTACTGAATAATACATAAGGAATGTTTTTGTCCTCATTTATTAATGTTTTAAATGTATTGATATATAGTAATACATGGTCAATGCACATATTGCAGTATACATAATCACTAGTTCCCCATATATGGAAATGTATTATGATATATATTGTGTCATGTTCCCATATGTTTGTGTTCTGTAAGGGAACTCTGAGCACTTCTCTCACTGCACCGCAGATGGAACCACACCTCCCGCATCAGCAGCCAATCAGGAGACAGAGGAGGAGGCAGCAGAGAAGAAGGGGGCAGGTCGGGGGTGGAGCCAAGAGCTGTGGGCGGAGACGAGGGTCAAACTGTGGGGCATCGTGGAGAGTAAATACTTCAACAGAGGAATCATGGTGGCCATCCTCATCAACACCATCAGCATGGGCATTGAGCACCATGAACAGGTCACACACACACACACACACATACACACATACAGGAGGTTTTTATATAGACTTATTACACGGCTCTGTGGAATACTTGATTCTGATTGGTCAATCACTCATCCAGCGGTATATTATTCCGTGTAGTTTGATCTCGCCGCTGAAACCGCTCTCTCCGCGCAAGCTTTGCGTTTAAAGGCCTAATGAAATATTTGAACTCAGATCAATATTTCCTGTCAAATTATTTACTAATGTGGCAAGAGTCTGTGTAATAAACGGATAATGTAGCCTACATCCAGCCGGTTGTTATCTCAGAATAAACCCCTTCAGGCTGATGAAGACTTGATCCTGATCCTGAGATAACGACCGGTTGGATGTACATTATGATGAAAGCTAAAGCTAAAGCTAAAGCTCAGCCCAGAGCATCACTGACCGGAGGATATCAGCTGATGATCTTTCATTACTTCAGTTAATGGTGTGTTTCATGCTCTTGTTCTCTCTGTGTGTGTGTGTGTGTGTCCAGCCAGACGAGCTCACTAATGTTCTGGAGATCTGTAACATCGTCTTCACCAGTATGTTTGCTCTGGAGATGATCCTGAAGCTCACGGCGTTCGGTGGCTTTCAATACCTGCGCAATCCCTACAACATCTTTGATGGGATCATCGTCATCATCAGGTACCAGCGAGACACCCGCTGCGCTCTAGATAAACACGTCACACTTACGAGCCGTGGAAAAACTTTAAAACCGCTGTGTTGCTTCATATTTTGGTCGTACATTTGGTTTTTCAGAATTCTTTGATGAAAAGAACAGCATTTATTTGAAATACAAATAGATACATATATTTACTGTCACTTTTGGTCAGTTTAATGTTTTTTGCTGAATAAAGGTAATAATTTTGTTAAAAGAAATCGTACTGACTTCACCTCATCTTTCAATCTTTGTTTGCATCAACAAGGAAAGATAATACTGTTTTCAGTAATGTGTTTTTGCAGATGAATAGAAGAGCTTGAACCAAACACAAGCGTCACAATTACTTCCATCTCTCTCTGTGTGTGTGTGTGTGTGCAGTGTGTGTGAGATCGTGGGTCAGTCTGACGGAGGTCTGTCGGTGCTGAGGACGTTCCGGTTGCTGCGTGTGTTAAAGCTGGTTCGCTTCATGCCGGCGCTGCGCAGACAGCTGGTGGTTCTGATGAAGACTATGGACAACGTGGCCACGTTCTGCATGCTCCTCATGCTCTTCATCTTCATCTTCAGGTGTGTGTGTGTGTGTGTGTCACCCTTATTTATACAGAACGCAAACTTTGAAACAGGATCCAAAGTGCAAGATATGAACATTTTTGAAAAACGTGATCATCTCCGTGTGAACCTCAAAAACGTGAATCTGTGTGTGTGTGTGTGTGTGTGTTTCCCTCTTCAAGGGCATTTTGAGACATGCAACTGAAGAGACGTCCTTGACTGTGTGTACATTCACCACATAATAAGATTTATAAGATATAGACAATATTGACAATAGTGTGTTTGTGACAGACATGGATGATGTTTTCATGCACAGACTCATAATCAGCGTCAGATTTTAGGGGTCGTGAAGAGTTCGTGTTGACAGCATTGCATGACATGAATATAATGCAGTGTATCGATGGATGAAATCATTGTATGAAGACACTTTAGACACGCAAGCGAAAAAAAAAGATTAAAGCGGTGTCCGTTCACACTCAATTGTGTATCTGTGCAAAAATAGCCATAATTTTTTGCGTATAATCAGAATAATGAAACAATTTGCTAGTAAACGAGAGTGAAGAGGTTTGTCTTGTCATGTAAATATCTGACTTCATATCTTCAGTTAATTTTCTTCTTCAGTAAATGTATCTTGAATGTTTGGATTCTTGTGCTGGAGAACAAGAGAGAAATAGTGAGGAAGAACATCATTTTTTGCAGTCGAGGGACTGACCTGAAATCAGTCTTTCTAGTAACATAAAGGATTTTTGAATCTCTCTCTCTCTCTCTCTAGTATTCTGGGAATGCATATATTCGGCTGTAAGTTCAGTCTGAAGACCGACACTGGAGACACAGTCCCAGACCGGAAGAACTTTGACTCTCTGTTGTGGGCGATCGTCACTGTGTTTCAGGTAGAGAGAGACATAGTAGTAACACTAACTCACTCACTCACTGACTCACTCACTCACTGACTCACTCACTCACTGACTCACTCACTCACTCAATCACTGACTCACACACTCACTGACTCACTCACTCACTGACTCACTCACTCACTGACTCACTCACTCACTCAATCACTGACTCACACACTCACTGACTCACTCACTCACTGACTAACTCACTCACTGACTCACTCACTCACTCACTGACTCACTCACTCACTGACTCACTCACTCACTGACTCACTCACTCACTCACTCACTCACTGACTTACTCACTGACTCACTCACTCACTGACTCACACACTGACTCACTCACTGACTTACTCACTCACTGACTCACTCACTGACTGACTCACTCACTTACTCACTCACTCACTGATTCACTCACTCACTCACTCACTGATTCACTCACTGTCTCACTGACTCACTCACTCACTCACTTACTCACTGACTCACTCACTCACTTACTGACTCACTCACTCACTCACTGACTCACTCACTCACTCACTCACTGACTCACTCACTCACTCACTCACTGACTCACTCACTCACTCACTCACTCACTGACTCACTGACTCACTCACTCACTGACTCACTCACTCACTCACTCACTCACTGACTCACTGACTCACTGACTCACTCACTCACTGACTCACTCACTCACTGACTCACTCACTCACTCACTCACTCACTCACTGACTCACTGACTCACTCACTCACTCACTCACTCACTGACTCACTCACTCACTCACTCACTCACTGACTCACTCACTCACTGACTCACTGACTCACTCACTCACTGACTCACTCACTCACTCACTCACTGACTCACTCACTCACTCACTCACTGACTCACTCACTCACACACTCACACACACACACAGAGACATGAATCTCTCCTCGTGTGTGTGTGTGTGTGTAGATCCTGACCCAGGAGGACTGGAACGTGGTGCTGTATAACGGCATGGCCTCCACGTCTCCTCTGGCCGCTCTGTATTTCGTGGCTCTGATGACGTTCGGGAACTATGTGCTGTTTAACCTCCTGGTGGCCATTCTGGTGGAGGGCTTTCAGGCCGAGGTCAGTCACACACACACCTTCACTCCCTGATTCAGGACTGAGTTCTTGAACTGTATATGAGTGTGTTTGGTATTTTCAGTGTTTTCCGACAGGTCGTGGATGAGCATTAGGTGCTTCAGAGAAGGCTTTGGGACTGTGGGAATAAAAACGTCCTAATCTGAAATATGTCCGTCTTTCAGGGCGATGCCAATCACTCGTTCTCTGATGACGAAGATGATGATGAGGAGGGATCTTCCGCTAAAGGAAGTGAACAGCACAAAGACTCACTCACGTTATCCGGTACGATCAAACTCAATATTAAACCAAATAAAACGGCTGTAGGATTTACTTTGAAACTGTTTTCCCTCTAAAAATGTTTGTCAGTTTCACAAAAATCGTCCAGCTCAGTTCAGCTCTCAGATAATGCTGCGAATGCAGGAGCTCAATATTAAATTAAATATAAACCTGTGCACACTGGTTGCTGGAAATGAAAGCCAGTCCGATTGCAGTTTGGTGTTTTCAGAAAATATTTTTGTCTCCAGGAAACATCACACATGCACTCGGTCATTCGGTCAATGATGTACTGAAGTTACGCTGTGGCTGTAAAGGGCGAGAGACATTAGTAGACATTAGACACCTGTTTCTCTCCTCCAGAAAAGCCTCCCTCTCTCACTGCGAACGGGCATCTGGATCTGGAGCCGCTGGCCGAGGAGAAGACCAGGAGCAGCTTCTCTGAGGAAAACCACCGGAGGAGGACAATCTGCCTGAGCAGGAGATCCTCCTCTCTAGTCAGTCAATGCCTGAGAGTCATTCAGTGTGTGTGTGAGTGTGTGTGTATGTTATGAGTCAAGGAAACATTAGTGCAGGTAAATGTTATTAGAGAATCCCTCAAGCAGAGACTCATCTGTGTGTGTGTGTGTGTGTGTTTGCGAGAGACTAAAATTCTCTTGATAATGTGCGTCGGACGCTCAGCCAAGGCTTTTGGGGTTTCCATAGCAACCCCTCTTTTAATTGAGGCAGCCGTGTGTATCGAGGGAGAGAGAGACGAGCGAGCGAGCGAACGCCTGGGTTAAATATAGTGTGTTGAGCTGTTGTTCCTGAAGTCACGTGCCGTCAGGAGATTGTGCTGGGAAAGAATTTCTTGCAATTTGCTGAATACTGTAAAAAACAGGCAGAAATCATACAGATGTGTGTGTGTGTGTTCACTTCAGATGTTTCCCTCTACCCGAGTCACTCATCTTGATGATGTCGGAACTCTCTCTCGTTAATGACGTTGGATGTGAACGCTGATGCTCCGTCACCTGACGCGCGTGAGCCGGACGGTGTGTGAGGTCAACATTAGAGATTAGCGGAGGAGAACACAAGTTTCTATGGCAACTGCTTTTTCCGCTCGTGCTGCTAAAAATGAGCGAATGCAGTCAGCAAGATCAGAAACACGTCCACGGCAATTACCACACACACACACACACACACGACTGCTTAAAGTTAACTCATTTTCAGTGTTTAAACAGCTCGTGTCGTTAGGAGTCAAATGTTTCTTTATATTTTCCTTTCTCTCTGTTGCGCCACAGCTGCAGTTCACATAGATCGACAGGTGAATGGATGGATTGATAGATAGATAGATAGATAGATAGATAGATAGATAGATAGATAGATAGATAGATAGATAGATAGATAGATAGATGGATAGATGGATGGATGGATGGATGGATGGATGGATGGATAGACTGATGGATAGACTGATGGATAGATGGATAGATAGATAGATAGATCGATCCCTTCCTGTAGGGCATCTGTGTTCTTGGACCAGTCCAGTCTGTCGTCCAGCTGGATGGATAGATACACAGATGTCATTAGGAATCAAATATTTATTCATTTTTCCAAATATTTTTCAAATAGATGATTTTTCTTCCTCTCTCTGTAGCGACACAGCCGCAGTTCCCAATATCACAACTGGGGGCGTCCTCCCGCTCACCCGTCCTGGAGCCGCCGGTGCAGCTGGAACAGTGGAGGCCCGAGGGCCGGGGGGGGCATTGGGGGCAGTTTGCGTGTGCGCAGTGTTCACTCTCACCCCGCGGAGCATGAGTCTCTCCTGCCCCCCCCACCCGCCCTGTCCCGCCGGGCCCGTCTCTCTCTCTCTCTCTCGGTCGAGCTGCCCGAGGTCCTGCAGCGCCCCCCTCTGGCCCGGATGAAGAGTGAGGTCCTGCACCGCCCCCCACTGGCCCGGATGAAGAGCGAGGTCCTGCTGCGCCCCCCACTGGCCCGAATGAAGAGCGAGGTCCTGCTGCGCCCCCCTCTGGCCCGGATGAAGAGCGAGTCAGCCGAACACCAGGACTGTAATGGGAAGACTCCTGGCCCTCAGGGGCCACTGCTGGGAGAGGTTTATCCACAGCTCAACGCACGCAAGGACAAGAACAACCTGGAGGAAGACACTGACTATGTGAGTGTAGATGGATATACAATGTGGATGGATGGAGGGTGAATATATGGATACGGAGATGGATGAGTGGATGGATGGGTCGATGGATAGGTAGATGGATTGACAGAAAGATGGATTGATAGATGGATGGATGATTGGATGGATGGATAGGTAGATGGATTGACAAGACAGATGGATTGATTGATAGATGGATGGGTGGATGGATGGATAGGTCGATGGATTGACAGACAGATGGATTGATTGATAGATGGATGGGTGGATGGATGGATGGATAGGTCGATGGATTGACAGAGAGATGGATTGATTGATAGATGGATGGGTGGATGGATGGATAGGTCGATGGATTGACAGACAGATGGATGGGTTGATGGATGGGTGGATGGATGGATAGGTCGATGGATTGACAGACAGATGAATGAATAGTCAGGGACTGATGGGCTGACAGATAAACAGATGGATAGATAGATGTATATATGGATATATATGAAGAGTTCAGATGCAAAAGCCTCTAAGTGCCATTTGAAATTTTCTTTTAGAATGATCATTTTTATCAAGCTTGTATATTTAAGTTCAGGGATTTCACTTAAATGGCAATGATAATTACCTATTAATTGTTGTTTAAGTGAAATTACTGAACTTAAATATACAATTTTGATAAAAATCATCATTAAAGAAGAGAATTTCAAATGGCATTTAGAGGCTTTTGCATCTGAACTCTTCATATGTAGACGGACAGATAGTTAAATTAAAAGAGATATATAGAAAGATTGACAGATGATAGATCTGTATAGACAGATAAACAGAAAGATGGGACAGACATCTGGTCAGATATGTGGATGGATGGATGGATGGATGGACGAACTGATACCTAGTGTGGTAGATGGACAGATTGATTGAATGACATACAGATGAATTGATGGATAGATGGGTTATGTTGATAGGTAGATTGATGGATGGATGGATGGATGGATGGATAGATAGATAGGTTAGGGAGATTGGTAGGTGGATGGATGGATGGATGGATGGATGGATGGGTGGATGGATAGATGGATAGATAGATAGGTTAGGGAGATTGGTAGGTGGATGGATGGATGGATGGATGGGTGGATGGATGGATGGATAGATAGGTTAGGTAGATAGGTGGATGGATAGATAGGTTAGGTAGACAGATGGATGATAGATAGATAGATAGATAGATAGATAGATAGATAGATAGATAGATAGATAGATAGATAGATAGATAGATAGATAGATAGATAGATAGATAGATAGATAGATAGATAGATAGATAGATAGATAGGTAGATGGATGGATGGATGGATGGATGGATGGGTGGATGGATGGGTGGATAGATAGGTTAGGTAGATGGTAGATGGAGAGGTGGATGAATAGATGGATAGGTGGATGTATGGATAGACTGATAGATGGAGGAATGAATGAACGAAAGGATAGACTGATGAGCAGATGGATGGATGGATAGACTAATGTATGGATGGATGAAAGGATAGACTGATAGATGGAGGGATGCACTTGAATCCATAATGCTAAATTCAGATGATTGTCCCTGAGAAGCAGAGAAAGTGAATAAAGTCCTGATATTCTCTCTGAGCCGGACGCTCACAGCATTAAAAGTTCGATTTAAAAACGCTTTGTGCGTCAGTTTGAGCGTGTCATTAGAAGAGCGCTTCACTGGGGAGCGGGAATCATCCCGTCTGACGGAGGACTGAGGAGAAACTCGGCTCGTTTCAGCTTTTAATAAACGTCTCGTCAGTGAAATCCAGCGGCGGCTGATGTGGAGAATAAACAACATGAAGAAGCTCATTATGAGCAGTGACAGCAAACACAATAGCCCAACTCCTCTGGGCACAGCGACTGTCCGATCGCATGAATGTGGACGTCACACGGATGTATTAATCCTCACATATTACTCGTTTATTGGAAATGTCTCCCAGGGAAATTGAAATGTTATTCAAAGTTAATTGGAAAGAGTTACCTTCATCTTCGATAACCAGAGTCTTGTGTGTGTGTGATACGCAGAGCCTGTGTTTCCGTATCCAGAAGATGATGGAGGTTTATCGCCCAGACTGGTGTGAGAAGAGGGAGGATTGGTCCATTTACTTATTTTCCCCCCATAACAAGTACGTATTTCCTGAAAGATCATTCTGTCCAAATCTGTTCAGTGGTTCTGATGGACCGAATGATGAGAGTAAACGTCCTTCTCTACTGTACTGATGTATTATATAGGGAATCCGTGCTGTACTCGAGTTAAACTGAATACTCATAAATCATACTTTAAAGTCTATAAGAGTCTTAATGTCTTAAATCATTCTCAGTTATTTAGAAATAAATATCATTTTATTGATCCTAATAAAGAAGTAAAGAAGAAGGCAGGGTCTATTCTTGCAGACAGGTCTCACCCTCTTTTTAGCCAATTTGAGCCCATGAAATCTGGTAGACGTTACAGAACCCCTCTAGCAAATAAAAATATGTTTAAGAGGTCTTTTATTCCAAATGCTGTTAAAATCCTCACCTCGGCAAGCAAGTGAAGAGATTATCCAAATGACAACAGTAGGAAATGTGACTCATCTATTTTATTTATTTTTTTTTTTTTAATGAACTTGTGATCTGTGTGTTTTTAAGACTGTGTTTTATATGTCTGTATATGTATTCTGGTTGAGCCAAAGACAATTTTCCACCCTGGTGGACAATAAAGATATTATTATATTATATTTATTTATTAATGCGATTTTGAAAGACGCCGGTACTACTAGTCCTTTCAGACACAGACTCTCAGATCTGATCAGATTACTTGTAATGGAGTAAAATGTTTGGTTTTTGGATTTTACCCCCCTGATGTTTTCTAAATCAGTGCGACGCTTGATCTGAACTAGTGAATGTAGTCATTATGTGTGTGTCGTGTCTAAACCGCGTTCAGACGTCACCGTAAAACACCAGCTCTGCTGTCCTGTCTGGCTTCGTCTACGTTAATCCGGATACGTTTTCGTGTAAAAGCGCTCTCGCGTTTTCAGGAGTTTCCCGACGTCTCAGTGTGGATGAGAAACTTCTGGAAAACGCCTAAATCCCCCTTTACTGCGCATGAGTAAACCCTCACAGAAGCTCCGAGATGATACAGACGGAAACATAACTAATAAAGTAATCGCGCAGTTCTTCAGACAGGATCATTTTATTCAGCAGAATATCTCTTCATTCACGGATGGTCCCGATCGCTCTCACTCATCATTATATGTTCGGTCTGAAACACTAAAACTGTTCTCGTGCTATGGAAATAGGATATTTTCCACTTGTGAACTGGTATTTACCAGTGTGTTGCGTTCAAGTGCTTTTGTTGTCGTAATGTGGTAAAAAGATGGAGATCCAGACCTGTTATTTAGCTAAAACTAATTTAGATTGCTTAAGTCATCTGCAACAGCAAGAAAATGATTTATTAAAACTCAAAAGGTAAATAATATGCTCTATATTTTCTAGAACATGAATAGTATATATTTTGACCATTCACGACTCTTGCGGTGCTTTCCGCCATTTTGAAAAGATCAAAGGTTATCTCATCTCGGCAACTCGTCCATCAAAATATTCTACGAGTTGCCCAGTGGAAAATACCACATGAGGGGGTGTTCATGTGCATTTTTCACGTCGGCTTTTGTAAAAAATTTGGAGTAGGATTTACTTGAAAAAACCTTGCTAAACTATCTCACTCAGAAAATGCTAGTAAATTTACAAAGATTTGCCAAGTAAAAACCTAAACATATTTATCAGTAGCTTTAATTAGAAATCTTTAAGTTAAATTTACTTGGAATGTGGAACTAAGTAAACTTTACAAAAAATAAGTAATTTTAACTCGGCTTGTAAAAGGTTGATTAATACCGATTTCCTTTGCCTTTGTATTACACTTCACTAAAACAATTATCTTGAATTTTATTAGTCATTTATAGTATGTTCTTTACTTAGATCATCTATGTAATTTATATATACATCATGTCAGACTTTAAGCCTTATGTGAATGCAAACACCTCAATACTTGGTAGACAATACACAATGGCGGTAACATTTGATGGATCGTTTTTGTGTTTGAATGTGTCGTTTTAAGCAAAAAATGTACTCGAAATGTCACAAAATGGCAATTTACTAATACTGAAAACAAAAATCAATGATAAAACAGTGTAAACACAGCTGAAAACCAGTGAAAAATGAACCTCATTAATTATTCAAGGTCCAGTGCATGATGGGAACCCCAGTATCAGAAAAGTTGAGTAATTTTTACTTAATTTTATTGAGTTTATATTTACACTTTCATTTCTACTCGCTTGAATTAAGTACTGATATGGAATTTACTTAGTTTTTTAAATTCTTGCCTGAACTAACTTTTTCAAGTAAATTACATTGGGTTTTTTCACTAGTATTTACTTAACCAAAAAATCATTTTTTACAGTGCATAATTACCACAGCACATGAACGCAGCATAAAACTGTTCTTGTGTTTCAAGATATGAAGAGTGTGTGAAGTTACATATTTCAGCAACAGTGTGAAAGTGAACCGCACATAACAGGCACAAAACCGCTATAAACATCAATATCTGTTGGCACAATAAACGTCACATGACTATACTTACATCATCGCTTTTGAATACCTGCGTTTTGACAGTCCACACTACAACACGGAAACACTGTCTTCCAATGTATCCACTGCGGAGAGCGTTTTCATTAATATAAGGCCGTCTCAGTGTGAACGGAAGGCCAAAAGATGCGCTTTCGAATGAAACACAAGGCCTCTCTGAGACCGAGATCTGAGTCGAGTCGGAAGAGTCTCGCATGTCCGTCTCAACTCCTGCTGCGGCTCATGACAGATCTCACATGTGCAGGTCTCCAGAGAAACACACACACACACACACACTGACACGGTGAGTGACTCACAGCATGTGTGCAGATTAATGCTCAGAGATCAGAGCCGAGCCGACGCACTGGTGGAGGGATCAATATGGGCTTAGGATCGTTGCATTATTTTAAATAAATAGATTGAGATTCACAAATAAATGCAGAGAGATTCAGAAAAAAATAATCAGATTCACAAATAAATAGATTATGATACACAAATAAATGAAAAGATTTTCACAAATTTCATAAATAAATAAAATAAAACTTTTACTAATGTGTTTTGTCACTAACACTACTCTGCCTGGCATTGATTTGTGAATCGCTTCCATGCATTTGATAAAGAATGAATAACGTGACATTTCCATAATGTGCTGTTCCCATAACAGAGACGTGAAGCGCTGTTTCTCAAAAGATTGGGAACTAATGCTCTAACAAAATCCACATTTTAAACATCTTTTACTTTATCAATTTAATGGGCCTTATTCTTTCTACTTGAGCCAATGCAGAAGAATGAGTAAAGTTATTTCAGGGCTAGACCGCCCCTGATTGTTAAGCAAATCGCTATTGGATAGAGCGAGAAAGTGCAATGATTGGTCAGCAGACATGGCTGTTATCTGATAGGCTGAAGTAGAAAGTGGGTGGAGTCCACTTATTTGTGGATCAAGACTGATCAATACATGTGGACACACACAGGAACCGATTAGCTAATTAATGTCAGACACATTTGTATATTTTTTTATTTGCAAATATAATTTATTTATTTGTGAATTTTAGTCATTTTTGTGAAACTTTTAACATTTATTTGTCAATCTCAATCTATTTATTTGGGAAAATGGAACGATTCTAACCCCATTGGAAACTAAGTGAAATGACATGGAAATAAAAACTAATTTACAGCCCAAATGACCCTTGATTTGGCGACTTGATGTGTCAAGCCTCTCTCTCTCTCTCTCTCTCTCTCTGCAGGTTTCGTCTGATGTGTCAGACCATCATCGCTCATAAGCTCTTTGACTATGTGGTTCTTGCTTTCATCTTCCTCAACTGCATCACAGTGGCTCTGGAGAGACCCAGAATCCACCAGGGCAGTCTGGTACGTCTCATCACTCAGATTCACATACAAACACACACGGCTCACAGCTTGAGTCAGCACGACTCGTCTCGCCGTAGTGACACACTGATTTGCAGCTCCGCATGAACACTGTCACAAAAAAAAAGAAGAAAACCCCTGTCACGTGAGCTGGAGCTTCATAGAGGAGAAGCGGCAGGTTTAATTCCACCGCAAAGATCGATTTACAATATATAGAATCTTCCTTTTAGTTGGAAACGAATAAATGTCCGGCAACTTGAAAAAATATTTAAAAATATGTTTTATTGAGCTCCACAAAAGTTAAAATAATCTATAAGCATCTCACAGATTCTATGTACATGTAATGTATGTAAAGCAATACTGTCAGTACACCAGCTAGAACCATTTATTTCCATTCAAAATGATGGGAACTGACAGTAAAGCAGCAGGCTTGAAAGATTATCAACATTATTATTATTATCAACATTTAAAGTTCCCCTGTAGTCAATCATTTTATCCCTTGAAATTCGTCTTTGATCACCAAAATGACATGTTTTTTCCTTGAAAAAATATTCTTCATGTCTTCCCTCGCCTCATTTAGTATGCGTGGTTCTATGAATATGCAAATGAGCCCCGCCCCCACTCACTCAGAGCTCCACTGGTTGACGATCACACGTTGATCTGAGTTTGTGACGTCAGAAACACCAGCAATTTGAAAGCGTGTTTTTGAGACTGTCTTTGATTCACTGCAGTTTTAAGGAGGAAATACTCAGCAATGCTGTCCACTTATCAACTTACACACGGTGTGTGTTAAAGCGGATTAAACACACCACATACACACATAAACAACATTAAAAGCTGGATTTACACCACAGGGGGACTTTAATAATCTATAAGCATTTCACAGATTGAACATTAACTATGTGAAACAATATTGTAAGTACACAGTCCTAACTGGGTACAAATAAGACTGAAATCAAACAAATGCTTAAAGATATTCAACTGAAAATGATTTATAGATTTTGCAGCAGTTAATCAGTGTATGAGAGCGGTTTATCTGGTTATGTGTCCGTGTAGAGGCTCGGTCGGCTGTGTTAAATCTGTGAACTCCAGCAGGACTGCTGTGACATTTCAAGCGTAATAATCACAGGATATTTTACCCCTGTAATGTAGAAGTCTCACATCTCATTCTTAGCTTGACATTTCTGGTGCCGCTGTATCATTACCTCGCGCTGCCTTGCCTTACACTCGCTCTCTCTCTCTCTCTCTCTCTCTCTCTCTCTCTCCCGTCAGGAGCGAGTCTTCCTCACCATCTCCAACTATGTTTTCACTGCCATCTTTGTGGCCGAGATGACAGTCAAGGTAACGTCTCCCCTGAGCACTTAACGTGTGTGTGTTTCTATCCTGAACGCCTGAAACTGAGACACTTCTGTGTTCAAATAGTAGCGTAAAAATCTTACGCTGCTCATATTGATAAAAATGGGCAGTTAATCATAATAAATATAATGCATAAAAACAAACAGAAAAAGATCCGTCTGATTATTCCTCTTCATTAATCTCAGGACTGCACTGGTTTAATATTACACGTTAAAATGAAAGATGACACACATGATAGGGTATAATGCAAGTATAAATAAACAGTAGTTGTGTCAGTCGATTAAAACAAATTAATTTCATTTTGTGTAATTAATCGCACCTAACATTAAAGCTAACATTTTATATTTTACACTGTAAAAAATATTTTCAAGATTTGTTATCACAACATATTTTCTTTTGTCAAATCAACTTTATAATAATTTATTTAGTTGAGATAACTTATTATTTCGAGTTTATGATGATTAAATTAATCTCCTTCTTTGTATTAACTCACTTTTTCCAGTTCAATGAACTCAAAATTTTAAGGCAACCAGGTAACTTACTTTTTTAAGTTAAACCAACAATATTTTTTGCAGTGTAGTAATCACAACATTTTTTCTTTTGTCAAATCAACTTAAATAATTTATTTAGTTCAGATAACATATAATTTTGAGTTTCTGGTGATTAAATCATTCTCCTTCATTGTATTAACTCACTTTTTCCAGTTCAATGAACTCAAAATTTTAAGGCAACCAGGTTACTTATTTTTTAAGTTAAACCATCAATATTTTTTACAGTGTAATAATTCCACAGTTAATCTACAAATTAATGTAGACAAAACATTAAAAACTATATATTTAAATTTTCTATCTGGAGATATACAGAAATTGATTAAAGTTAGCAATCACTTCTCAGTCTTCACAGCATACATTATGAATTAGATATACAGTAGTCAACATTTGAGGTCACTAATTCATGTATAACTTTAATGAAAGGTCTTAAATGTTGACCACTGTAGATGAACCCTTATTAGATCTACAAAAGTTACTCAGATGTTCTCTTTTTCTTTCGTTCTTTGATTTACATGAATGGTTTATTAGGCTGCTGTCACTTTAAGATCCGAAGCACCCTAATAATGACTATTACGCTTCATTGACGCTCATTTAGATCATTTAGCCAATGAGAAACCTGGAGACGCAGTGCATGCTGGGTAAACACTGGAGTGAGGAGTCACAGAAGCCTCAGTGCCGGTCTTCAGACACACATCTCTCTGTACCTGTCAGGCGTACCGCGGTAAAGACTGTCAGATGAGAGTGTGTGTGTCAGGAGAGCAGACAGAAGGCAGAGAGTGCTGTGAAACTCATAAAATAATCATGCAGAGGTCCAACATTATAATATATATATGAAGTTTTAAAAGAGAATGTCTAACTTGTCTTTCCGTGGCCCTTAACCTCAGAATGGATCATTACGAGGTCCTCTCTCTCTCTCTGTGTGTGTCAGGTGGTGTCTAAGGGCCTGTATCTGGGCGATCGAGCGTATCTGCGCAGCAGCTGGAACGTTCTGGATGGTTTCCTCGTCTTCGTGTCTCTGATTGACATCGTGGTGTCGATGGCGGGCGGGGCGAAGATCCTGGGCGTGCTGCGGGTGCTGCGACTGCTGAGGACGTTACGCCCGCTCAGGTCGCCACGACAACACACACTTTCTTTAACACACTGACACACACTGACTGCAGGTTCATTCTGTGCTCGTGACTCTACAGAGGTATAAATCACAGTATCAGGACAGTTGTTTTTGTTTAGGTATTTGAGGCATTGTAGAATTAAATATGCACTGATTTGCATACATTTTATAGATTAGAAATATGAACACTGGATAGTGATAAGATTATAAGTGAAAGACATTGTTGACGTTAGTTAAAGGTGTTTACTAAAGGATTCTCCTTTTAATCACTTCATAAATCAAACAGGCTTAATCTGTACAATATTGTTGTATAAATCAGGTGAATGATATCTGAACTGCCCTTCAGAATATAGATATGAATAAAAAAACTCACCATCCAACTCAGTGCCTCGAGACTGTGATTTTAATCTACTGATGCGGATAGTTTAAGTGCAATAAAAGTTTTGTTTTCACTTGTGTGAATGAAGACGGACTGAACACTGAACTGTGCATGAAAACAGTAGCACTTCACGATAAGGTTCATTAGTTAACATTAGGTAATGTATCAACTAACATGAGCCAACAATGAGTAATACTTGTGTTACAGTGTTTATTTACCTTTGTTAATATTAGTTAATAATAATCCAGCTGTTCGTTGTGTTCATGTTAGTTCACAGTGCATTAATTAATGATAACTAATGAAGCTTATTGTAAATTGTTACCATTAAAATACCCTGCTCTTGGCTGTCGAGTCTGTGCAGTTGGTGGGACGGCGGTTTCGGCTGGTTCTGTGCGGTTCTATGCAGTTCTGTGTGGTCCTATGTGGCTCTGTGCGGTTCTATGCATTTCTATGCTGTTTTGTGTCGTTCTCTGTGGTTCTGTGCAGTTATGCAATTCTGTGCGGTTCTGTGCGGTTCTATGTGGTTCTGTGCGGTTCTATGTGGTTCTGTGCGGTTCTATGCAATTCTTTGCGGTTCTGTGTGGTTCTATGTGGTTCTGTGCGGTTCTATGCAATTCTTTGCGGTTATGTGTGGTTCTGTGCAGTTCTGTGGGGTTCTGTGTGGTTATATGCAGTTCTGTGTGGTTCTGTGTGGTTCTATGTGGTTTTATGTGGTGCTGTGCGGATCTCTGTGGTTATATGCAGTTCTGTGGGGTTCTGTGTGGTTCTGTGCAGATCTCTGTGGTTCAATGCGGTTCTGTCTGGTTCTATGCAGTTCTGTGTGGTTCTTCTATGTGGTTCTATGTGGTTCTGTGCGGATCTCTGTGGTTATATGCATTTCTGTGGGGTTCTGTGTGGTTCTCTGCAGATCTCTGTGGTTCAGTGCGGTTCTGTGGGGTACTGTGCAGTTCTTTGTGGTTCTATGTGGTTCTGTGTGGTTCTGTGCAGTTCTCTGGAGTTCTGTTGGGTTATGTGTGTTCCTGTGTGGTTCTATGTGGTTCTGTGGGGTTCTGTGCAGTTTTCTGTGGTTCTATGTGTTTCTGTGTGGTTCTCTGTGGTTATGTGTGGTTCTATGCTGTTTTCTGGGGTTCTGTTGGGTTATGTGTGTTTCTGTGTGGTTCTATGTGTTTCTGTGCAGTTCTCTGTGGTTCTGTGCAGTTCTCTGTGGTTCTGTGTGGTTCTATGTGGTTCTGTGTGGTTCTGTGCGGTTCTCTGTGGTTCTGTGCAGTTCT